CAGGTGCTAAAGTTTCACTCGATAGAAAAAAATACACCGGTACCCCTCCCCAAGCGACCCTTATCCGCTCGACCGCTCGGTTCCCTTTCCTTTCACGTCACCGCATGCTTCTTGCCCCGATCTCCATCGCGCCCGTGTGCACGGCCTCTTCCAATGATCGTAACCTCGTCCACCGCCTCCATGGCCGAGCTCTCGCATCCACCCGCGCTATTTGAAGTCGTGTGCGCCCTGCTCACCGATTACTTCTCCGATTCGTGCTCCGCCGTGCGATTTCGAGTCGCCGGTCTTAGCCGCCCGGTAGCGTCTGGGCCCTCCCTTCCCTGTAGCTGCGCCTCGCGCTTGTCCTCCGGCCACATCCGATCGCGCCCTTGGGCGGCGTTCGCTCCTGTGTGCACTTTCACGCATCCAGCGCCCAAGTCCCGGTGGCCGTCTCGCGCACACCCGGCGGTGGCGCAACCGGTCTGCCTTGCGGCGTGCTGGCCGTGGGGCCTATCCTCCCAAGCTCCTCTTCTTCTCCGTCCGAGGGCAAATGAGGAAAGAGAAATAGAAAGGACTAAAAATTAGCCCAAGATCAAACAGGCTTGGAGTAACAATTACTCAATCCATCCCAAATTGTAAGACGTTTGACTTTTTGACATCAAGTTTGACCACTCGTCTTATTCAAAAATTTGTGTAAAATATCACTTCTTTAAATCGTGGTTTGGTTTATTAATAAAAATTCTTCAAGAATGACTTAAATTTGACTATATTTGCATAAATTTTTTTGAATAAGACGAGTGGTCTAACTTGAGGCAAAAAAAAGTCAAACGCGTTTACAATTTAGGATGGAGGGAGTAGTTGGCTAATTTTAGCTGATAATTGTTTACGAAGACTAATCACTGGTTCTAATCCATGCAAACGGACCCTATTAACATTGAGATAGATGCAAATACTTGTCGCGCTTGCCATGCCCCGCACGGCCCCGCACGGTGCGTTGAGCCGTTGACCAGCTGGTTTAGCGCGTGCGCGAGCAAGGATGGGGTCCATGGGGCGGTAGTAAAACGGCCGATGGGTATGGGATAGAATTGACTAGTCGTTATTATGAACATGTGGTGCCGGTAAAGATGTTGACTTTGGTTCCGCTCCAAATTGCACGGCATGCGTAGTTTCCACAATAGGCCCTTAGTTTGATTGGACGTGAAAGCGTAGTTTCCACAACCAATAAATAAGAGGGAAAAAATAGCGTGCATGTGTGTGTTTGGTATCCGCCAAGCCACCTCCTTCCTTGCAATTGTCACACGGTTTTCCTATCCACTGCTAAAAAAGGATTCACAGCAAGGCCACCTTTTTTTTTTTTTAAGGAACGGCTCTATATTGAGTCGTCCCTACCAATAATGCCCAAACAAATCGTTTCTATAAATTTATTTGTAGGGGTTACTGGTGTTATTAGCCGTCCCTACAAATGGCTCGATTTATAGGGGCAGCTCTATATCTAGCCGTCCGGCTCAATATTGAGCCGTCCTTATAAATAGACGTCCAATAGTAAAAATTAAGTACTAAAATTAGAATTTTTTAAACGATCTGGGATGGAGAAATGACCAAAATAAACGTTGTAGATCTCGAAAAATTATGAAACTTTATTGTTTATAACTTTTTTTTTGAAATCATTTACTGCTTCAAAATGCTGTTTGAAATTCAATTTTGAAATTATTGAAGAACACTGATTTCTCTTTTTATTCTCTATCTAAAACTTGTAACTAGTCTTTTCTCTCATACTAACTTCAAATTTAATGATTTTTTGCTAAAATTTTTAAAATCTTGCTCTATCAATTTATTGTGTTCTTAAAGCTATTATTTAAGCTATCTTTTCATGTGACTTTATTTTTTCAAAATTTGAATTTCCAAAAATTGCAACTTCAAACAACATTTTGAAGCAGTAAATGATTTCAGTTGAAAAACTCATGAACATAAAAGTTGTAGAACTGATTAAAATCTACAACTTTTATTTTGGTCATTTGTTCATTCAACAAAATTGTAGTAACATTGTTCATAAATATTTCATATCTCTCGTACAGTTTCATAGACTATAAGAGGGATATATAAGATTTGTGAATAATGTCACTACCACTATGTTGGATGAATAAATGACCAAAATAAAAGTTATAGATCTCGAAAAGTTATAGAACTTTGTAGTTGACAACTTTTTGATTTGAAATCATCTTGTCAAATAAAACTATGTTTGAATTTTTAAAATTTGAAATTTGAAAATTTTCAAACGACCTCGGATGGAGAAACAACAAAAGGAAAAGTTGTAGATCTTGAAAAGTTATGCAACTTTATAGTTGATAACTTTTTGATTTGAGAACATCTTGTCAAGGAAAACTACGTTTGAATTTCTTAAATTTAGAATTCAAATTTTTTAATCGACCTCGGATAGAGAAACTAACAAAATGAAAGTTGAAGATCTCGAAAAGTTATACAACTGTGTTGTTGACAACTTTTTCATATTAATTTGTTTAGGGCATCAAACAATCAATTTAATCTCGATTTAAGATAATATGTGGGGAAAAAAATCCAATATAGACATAAGTAACATGTGGTGTACTGATTAGAGTAGGGAACACGCGTGGCCAAAAATCGCAGGTTCGAACCCTCGCAGCCACGAAGCGTGCATTTTCGCGCGAAAAAATGCACGACTTGCGACTTACGGGCGCACGACGTGTTGCTCACCGGGCCGTGGAGCACATCAACGAGGTCAGTCAGCCTGGCTGTGGAGGACGCCGACGGCACGGTGGTTACTGGTCAGCGGTGCTGCGAGGGCACGTTGCGGCTCCTCTCCGCGGGGGCGCCCAGGAGGGGAGACGAGGAAGAACCGGAAGTGAAACAGACGTCGTGGCAGGTTAAAAAAAGAAACAGCAGAGAGCCTATTTTAGAGAATCTGCTATGGCATGTTAAATTTTGAGAGGCTACGTTGTTTTAGATAGTTGGTTTTTGATTTTTTTTCATAACAAATTCTACATATTTTTTAGAGTTGCTCTGAAAAATTACGTCCACGAACTATAGTCATTAAAAAACTATTACCACATGCTTTTTCCACGTGCTTCGGCCAATTGGAGCTAGCCAAAATGGTTTCCTGCATGCGAAATCGTTTCTTGTTTTTTTTTTCATCTCTCCTCTTATCTCTCTGGACACGCCACATTTTCATCTACGTGATGAGCAATTTATTGCCATGGAAACTTTGTCCAGTTTAAATTGTTGGGGTTGCCCTTAGTAATATAACCATTAAAGCAGTTCTAACAATTGTTCCGCTTGCCATGCTCCAGACGGTAGGAGCCTGTTGGCAAGACTGAAAAATAAACCAAAATCTTTGTTCCGAATGATTGTTATGAGAAAAAAATACTGTTCTATTTAAAAACACTATTTATATGAATAGTAAACCTATGAGTGCGCTGGCCAGCCCAGCCTCAGCCGGCCAGCCAGCCGAACGCACTCTAGGTTAGCACGTCATAGTAAGTCTCTGTCACTGTCTTCAATGGGATGAATAATGTGCTTAACAGATAGGTGGCTCTTGAGCAATGATGGGGGTAGTCAAACGATCGATGGGTATGATGTAGATTTGGCTCATGAGTCTTGAACAACATGTGGTGCATCTAAAACTGTTGACTCTGGTTTGACTCCAAATTCCACAGCATGCAGTTAGTTTGATTGAACGTAAAAGCATAGTTTCTACAGCCACCTATAAATCTTTTTTGGGCCTGTTTGGATCCGGAATTGAATTCATTCTAATAATTATATTTTAGACATAGATTAATTAAGCTAATATAGTTGTATATGGAATATATTTGTATATTTATTGTTAGGCACACAAGGGACATACTTATATGTTACATTTCTATTGTAAGGAAGTGAGTTGAAGAGTGTGCTATAAGTTGAAGAGTAGAATTATAGTATAGTGATCTATAGAATCCATTTTCATCTTCCACCCTATGAATTTGAGATAGATTTATTTATGAGCTTAAAAATATTATGGAATATCAAATTACAAGTCAAATAGTCTAATCCATTAAGTAGATTTCAATTCCTCCAAAATAAAGGAATTCAAACTGCCCCTGAGTGAGTTTCACGGGATTGCTAACCACACATCCCACGTGGTCTACAACCACCTATAAATTCCATTGACAGATTAAGAGCAACTACAAAGTTGCTTTATATTCTTCCGTACATAGAAAAAAAAATACTCCAACAGTTTTTTCAATTAGACTTCTAAATATTTTTTGACGCAATTAAACCTCTAAATATTGACATTCTCTATTTCTGGTTTCTTGCTAACCAAAGAAAAAAGTAGAAATAACTCTCGAGAGTACACACAACATATAGAGAAGTTGTTGGAGGGTCAATGTATATAGAGCGATTCTTATTAAATGACTCTCCAATAAAGATTTAGAGAGTGAGATTAATTCTTGGAGATGCTTTAACTTTGATCATATTGACCGGTGGGGCCTTCCTCGATTAAAAAAAAAAAATTTCGTATTTTTTTGCCCTGATTTAAATGATTTCTGAAAAATGGATTTGTAAGGGCCAGCCGAGCCGCCCCTACAAATCAGTAGTTGCCCCTACAAATCCGACATTTATAGCAACGGTTTAGTAGGGGCGGCTGAAAAAACCGTTGCTACAAATGGTTATGAGCCGTCCCTACAAATCATATGTGACGTAGTGATCCTCCCACTCGGTTTTCCACTTATAGTCTGTTTTTTGAGTTGAAAGCGAACTATTGGAAACTATTTTGAAGAAAATGAAATCAAAACTTCCTGTCCATTTTGTTTATTTGATACATAATAACCATTTATTTACTAAGTGATTTTTAAGATCCTTTTATTTGGAGATGCTCTAAGAAAGTCTAATCCGTGTGACCACCTGGTGTCGTCACCGCCCGCTCTTCCTTATATAAGCTAGCTATACTAGTGGCAAACAGTCAGGATAGCTAGCACCTAGCTAGGATACTGATGATACACCTCTCAGTAATGGCCCTCCGTAAATGTGGTGACCACCCCGCCCGCTACGTGAACGCCATGATTCTTCTGCACTTGTTTGGCGTTCTGGCGTCTACGACGCTGGGGGCGGAGGCTTCCGATGTTGCGGCGGGAAGGCAGCAACAAATTGGTGGCAACGGAGAAAGGGCGGCGCCGTCTATCGCCCCCGCCGCCGGTTGCCCTAGCCGATGCGGCGATCTAACCTTCGATTTCCCCTTCGGTATCGGCCCCAACTGCTCTCGCAGCTCCGACTTCGAGCTCACCTGTAATGACACCACTCAGCCTCCTAAGCTCTTCATGCGTGATGGCACCACCCAGGTCATCGACAACATCACCATTGTTACCACGGAGAATACCGACTCCGGTTCAGAGCACTGGGTTATCCTCCACTTCACCTCCACCGTCTCCTTGAATTCATCTGCACCAGTAGTTTCCTGGTCTTTGCCTTCGATATCTCTTGGGAATTCTTTCGAGCTACATTACTCGGGCCTTATCTTTTCTGGCTGTGATTTCGACGTACACTGGGAGAATCCTCCGGTGAATACACCGACGTGGGCGTCCAGCTGCACACCTATCTGCCCTGACGGTGGACTCACATACACACCGGACTGTGGTTCCGACATCACTGGATGTTGCACCATCTACTTTGTTGACAATGGCTTTTTTGACGCAAGTTTTTTGTCTTCTGTCCAACTTAAATTCGTTCGCCATCATAGTGGAGCTGATTCCAACTTACACCACAATCTGAGCTTATTGCGGGATACTGTCAATGTTACTGTTGCTTCCTTGTCTGCCAATTGGAGAATCATTGATCCACTAACCTGCGTAGAAGCCATTAAAGACAAGACAACCTATGCTTGTGTTAGCAGAAGTAGCGTCTGTCGTGATGGTATTGGGCGTTATGGCTACAACTGCAAGTGCAACACAGGCTACGTGGGCAATCCATATATTATCGACGGCTGCAAACCGGACACAGGTAACGTAGTACTCCCTCTTGTCCCGTTAATTGTCGTTCTCGCTTCAAAAAAATAACTTTAACTAAATTTATATAAAAAATATTAATATTTATGATATATAATTAATATCATTAGATAGATCGTTAAATCTATTTTCATTATAAATTTATTTGGAGATACAAATGTTACTAATATTTTTTACAAATCTAGTTAAACTTATGGCATGCAAACCAACAACGATAAATATTTAAGGACAGGAGGAGTATATACCATCTCTCTCTGTTAACATCTCCATATAGAGAGAGAGAGAAGTAAAAGTCAGTACCTTTGCTTTGCCTCAAATAATTTCGTTCAGCGGCAGTCAATATAGTAAGTCATTATTTCACATATATTATCTATATATTTTTTAGAAAAAAGGAATTTATTTCGGTCTCTGCAAGAGTTTTACACACAACCAATGTTTATTATAGTTCCAGAGTTCTCATATGTTTAGCTCTCAAAAAGTGAAACCAAACAAAAGGACGACTGACTAAACGCTAAGCTGTTTCAACGACAACCATCCATGCTTGGTGAATATTTCCATAGCCAAGGTCTCCATCATGCGACATGCCCCTTCAAAAGTGTCTTGTCGCTCTTCTTCTGTAGTGCATTACAGAAACGGATCCAATAAGTTGCTCTGAAAACAGCATGCAAATAAGAGTATAGTCATTTTTTATCAAAAATCCCTTCATTTCTAAATAGCCAAATATAGATCAAAAGACTGCGCTTGTCCTTACACAAATCGGAGAGCGCAAACGTTGTCTATTTGTACATCCCACACCCTAAATAAGTCGGTTACATCTTTTGATCATTTGAGATTAATTAAAATCCACTTGGCAGATTCTCTCAGAGAACAAATGCTAGATAGTTTCCTTATTGTTCCAAAAACAACACCTATCATCTCGTTTCCGGTTTCTATTTAGTAAGTTGTCAATGGTTAAAATTAGCCCATTCATTGAGTGTTTATACATTGATTGTGTTGTGTTTATATTAAGTTGTCTTTGGATAGTTTATTAAGTGTTTATTAACACAATGTATACAATATAATTTGGAATCAACTCCATCATGCGACACTTCCAGTTTATTAAGTGTTTATATATACATTGATTGCACAGTTAACGATCCTTGTCTTGTAAGGCTCCAGTTAATAGAATCTTGTTGATCATCCGAGTGCACAAAAGCAATTTCATCCACTAATTCATTCCATTTAAGTAGCTTTTCCCCCGCTAGAGCTCTTTTGAGAAGAAAATGTTAAGGGGTATGGAAATAAAAGCATTAGCTACTGATATATGTTTTTCCTTGTAACTTTGTATAAAGACGGGCATTGTTCTTTGAGAGTGAAGTTTCCAAGCTACTTGTCCTCCCAAAACTTGGTTTGACTACCATTGTGATTGTTAAAAATGGAGAGATCAAAGAAGGGGTCCTCTGCCTTCATAAGGTCTGACCAAAAGCGTGAATCTTTCGATTTCCAATGAACTTCATCGATGGTTTTATTTTTTAAATATTTCTTCCTAAGAAAATCCTGCCGCACACCATCTTCATTAACTAGTTTATACAAACACTTGCTAAGTAAACAAATGTTCTAAACTTCAAGATTCATAATACCAAGACCTCCTTGATCCTTTGGTAAACAAAGAATTTCCCATTTCATTAATGTATACTTTTTCTTATGGTTGTCACCTTGCTAGAAAAAAAACTGACCTTTGAAATCTAACTTGTTAAGAATGCCTTTGGGTACTTCAAAAAAGACATCATAAACATGGCCAGGCTACTCAACACTGAGTTTATCAAAACTAACTGATCACCATATGATAAAAGTTTACCCTTCCATTCCTTCAAAAAAAGTTTACCCTTCCAACTACTCAATTTTTTGAAAGCGTTCTTCAACCACTTTACAGTCTTTATCATTAAGTTATTTGTGATTCATAGGTATGCCCAAATATCTGAAAGGAAGATGACCCATTCCACATCCAAAGATTGGTGAATATTGTTTCATGTGCTCCTTTGCCTCCCCATAGCAAAAAAGTTCACTCTTTTGGAAGCTAATTTTCAAACCAGATAGTTGCTCAAAGGCACATAAAAATAACTTTCACATTCTTTGCTTGTTCTAAATCATGCTCCATGAAAAGTATAGTATGATCGGCATATTGCAAAATCGAGAGGCCACCATCCACCATATGGAGAATTGGGCATTCAATTTGACCATTCTCTTTGGCTCTAGCGATGAATATGGCTAACATATCCACAACTAGATTAAAAAGAATAGGTGAAAGTGGATCACCTTGTCATAGGTCTTTTTCTAGTTTGGAAATAACGACCGACATTATTGTTTACTTTCACAGCAACACTCCCACCAGAAACGAATTGTTGGACCCATTGGCACCACAAAGGTGTGAATCCTTTCGTTCATAGTGTTTGCTGGGAGGAAAGTCCATTTCATTTTGTCATATGCTTTCTCGAAATCAACTTTTAAAAACTACCCCATTTAGGGTTTTCCTATGCAATTCATGGATTGATTCCTGTTAAATCGTCACTCCCTCTAAAATGTATCGACCCGTAAAGAAACTAGTTTGAGAAGGTTGTATTACCTTCTGAGCCACATTATTTATTCTAATTGTTGCTACCTTTGTGAAAATCTTGAAGCTCACATTTAAAAGGCAAATAGGTTTGTATTGTTCAATCCTAATTGCCTCCTAGCATTTTGGCAGAAGTGTTATGGTTCCGAAGTTGAGAGAAATAAGCAGTAGATCTTCTTTATAAATGTCATGGAACATGACCATCATATTCTCTCTCTATATAAGTTCAGTACCACGTCCTAATAAACAGCCTCAGTTTATCTTGTCCGCCTAGGGCTGTACATGTCATGCCAGAAATCAAATCTAACCAAATTTCTCAAATCTAAATTCCATGTAAAATTGTTAATTGGTACACATTTATACATGCCCAATACAATAAAGTTTTTTTTATGGTTCTACCTCAGTCACAAATATAGTCAATTTTATCTTATTTTTGGCCTAACTCAAACCTCCCAAACTTTGACTAGTTTAAAAAGGTCATCAACTCTAGTGCCAAATAATAAATGCACTACCAAGAAATATTTCATAGCAATTTAATGTCCTACAAATAATGTTGGTGTATTCTCACTACTACACTCGCACCTTTCACAGCCGTGTCATAACCCACATCGCAGTCCAATTTCGGCCTCGACAGTAAGCTCATAGCCATCACCGTCGGAATCTGAGACCGACTGGGGTGTACACTATACCGCCGTATTGGCTTATCATCCGTCCGTGATAAGGTCCTTACTTCCATCGCATTGGAACATGACCTGCGTGTGTGGGCATGCACTAACACCGCCGCATGGCTTATGATCTGTCCGTGATCAGATCCTTATTCCATCGCATTGGAGTGTGACCTGCCAGTGTCGAGCCAAACATCACCGTCTCTTCGGTGTATGAACCGTCTGGTCATAGGGCATGGTCACCGTCCCGTTGTAGTATGATCCGCCCGTGATGATCCTTTAGTCGGTGTCGGGTTACTAAATGATTCGACGGTGATGCACTATTGACCCCTGCCGCATCAGACGAATAGCGGTGGTGATGGTCGTCTGCTTCACCAAAGGCGAGTGGTACGGTAGTGATGACAAAACAACCAACGGCCTTTACATCCGACGGTGACAGAATTGCATCCGGTTTTCACAATGTATTTACTAATTCAGCTGGGCCTTAATAACTTACTGAACACACACCTTATAGATACAATCATTACACATCATTCATCATGTCCACAACAAAGAGTACTTGTTATAATAACAATGCTCGACACTAACATAACAACTGTGTCAACTGATGAATTAACACAAGCGGTAGATAAATAACATAATAAAGATTCCGTTCCCTACAGACTTACGTAACTAAAACGAGGTAGATGTGCTCTGCTCCTTCAGATTGGCACTCCTTGATCAGCTTAGCGACCAATGCAAAGATGGAACCCTCTTCTTTCTCCCACGACCATTGCGTAAAAAATCGTTCAAAAGCACGAGACTTCAAAACCTACATAATATAAAAAGTAGCGAAATTAATAATATTCAACATATCATTGGTTCAGTTACCAAGCCAAAATTAGACTATATATAGACTCAAAACAACTCCCTACCTGAACAAAGACATGTCCTAACAACAAAATACAGCATATGCACCTTTACTGCTCTGCTAATGACTCCATGAATAAGGGAACATAAGGCAGATAGTGAGGTTCGTTCAAATAAATACTCTAGGTACTTTTAGGATAGTGGACGACCCGGACAGAGAGGACATGAACTTTTCTGCAGCTCATGTCATATGCCATCAGTGTTGTCCTCCCCAATAAGGAAAATCAAATTTCATTCTAGGTGAACTGCAATCACTCAGTAGTCCGCATTGGCGACCTCGGGCCGAGTCCAATATTGTTCACAAAATAGCTACTGACGTGTTCACCATATGCTTCAATGTCCATTTACTAGTACCATAGTCTTCAAGGATCCGTAATGAAAGGTCGACGTATTGAAAATATAAGCAATATTGTGGGGTACAACCCGGATACCCACATGACCACATGGCTCACGCTCCCGGGGTGGCCTAGCCCACAAAGCCGAAGCCTTGCGGGAGACGCACCTTGCCACTTTCGGCGCGTCCCATAAGACACCGGAAAGATATCCTCAAGATGATACGAGATCTCATTGGGATACGTGTGATCTCATGATTCACATGTCTGTTATTACTTTTGATTTATCTTCTAGATCTAATGACTTGTAACCTTGCCCCGTTACTATATAAAGGCGATGACCCCCCTCCAAACATAGGCAATATCATACGATAGCCAATATAATCCAACAGACCACAGAAGTAGGGTATTACGTCTTGCTGACGGCCCAAACCTGTCTAACTCGTGTGTATCTGTTGCCTTCTTGTTCTCAATTACACGCACCTTTGCTGATTAATCT